TAGATATCACAATAATTCCAGTGCAAACTAACACATACTTTGTAACGAAGTTTTGTATGATAGAAATTATAATAACACAAGCTAACGCATACTGTGTGGTGAGAAAGTGATGATTAATGTTTTAAAGTCTAAAACTATCTGACTACAATACTCAAACAACTGAACTACAATCTACAGAATTTCAAAACCCTTAATTAACAGGTGGAAAAAGGTGTAGAAAGACTTAGTCTGAGTCTCAAGGTCTTTTCAAGTCTTACTGCGGTAATGCTGAAGTTCAAGCTAAGTATAACTTTGAATTATCCTTTAATTGATTATTTCTAGGCTTCTATAAGAGGCTAAAAATGATTTTTTGTCCTAATTTTAGGGGTACCAAGGTCTTAGTCTTTGATTTGATCATTAAGCTTCTGAACGATTGTTATGTGGGTTATGGGATTACAATAGATTTGCAAAATCGATTATTGTTTGGTTAGAGGTAACAATGGCATTTGATCAATTTTTGATCAATTATCGTTTTAATATAAATAGAGTCTTGATTACTAATCAATACTTTCTTATTCTTATTAATATTTAGAGTATAGATAACATGGGATTTCAGAGGCAAGAAAAGTGTATCTTATATGAGTTAATTTATGATCTTGGAGTCAACACTTCTACTCGAATTTAGAAGGTAAAAACTCAACTTGTGTTATATGTCAAAATAGTTTTTATACAACAATAATGAGATAAAACCAGTAATAATGTAATGTTTTATATTAGATGGAACCTAAGGATAAGTAAAACTACTTAGAGTTACTTCTACTATTATGACTTTGAAGGTTATAACTCAACTCAGTTCTGTTTTATTTTAGAGTGAGAGAGGCTTTGCTTTTATACATTTTTGCGGGTTTACAATATACAAATTCTCACTTCGATTTATTCGCTAAAGCAAATAAATCTACCATATCTGCTAAGGCAGTTAATGTGGTTAAGATGGATAAATTTGCTAAAGTGAACTTATCCAACTTATTGAATCTATTTGGGGAAAAGGCTTACTGGATTTAATAACTAAGCTAAGGGTTGCTGTCAATAGAAATAAGGCAGACTGACATTTTTAAAAAAATCAATATCTTAACTTTAATAGCTCATATTTCAATACGTTTCAAGCCTATCTTAATGATTTAATAGCCAAAAAAAATCTTACAATCTAAGCTTTCTTTTAAATATTAAATTATAAAGATAGCTTGAAAATTCATTAAGATACAAGCTGTGAAAGCTAAGGTATTAATTTTTTAAAAAATGTCAGTCTGCTTTATTTCAATTTATGGCAGCCCATATAATAATTCTAATATATAATAAAAAGAATAATAATCATAATACTAATCAAAGAATAAAATAAAATAAAATTTCGCAGGGTCGGATGACCAGAGCCCTCATAGTGGCGAATAAGTTCTGTAACAAAATTTTGCATAATAGAAATTAAGATAATTCTAATACAAATTAGCACGATCTTAACTACTACTATGGTCATCAGAATTAGTAAGTTTTGTAACAGAATTTTTTACAGTAATTTACAATAAAATTACATAATTCTAATAACAAACTAACTCAATATTAATTGCATAATAATCATAATAATTTCTAAATTGTTATTATCGAATAGTGAGTAAATACTGTAACAATAGAAATTATAGCAATTTCAATACAAAACTCAACCTTAATCGAATAGTATATTGTGGTCACCTAAATAGCAAGTAAGTACTGTGATAAACTGTTTTCTACTGTAATAGAAATCACAATAATTTTAATACAAACTAACTTGACATTAATTACATAGAAATCACTCAATCTTAACTATGTATTGTAATTACCAGGATGGCAAGTGCTGTAGTGACAGTAGAAATTACTGTAGTTAACAGAATTACAAATACTATAGGAATTTTTTTATAGTTAAACTCGCAATAATTTAAATACAACTAACCCAACCTTAATTATGATAACTCATATACAAGCTAACTCTATATACGGAATAGTAAGTTCTGTAACTGGCATAGAAACAATAATTGTAATAGAATTTGTAATAATATTTATAATATTTATTCTTTCAAAGACAGACATGTACTACCCAGTAAATTGATTAGTGACGTGAATAATGAAAGCGCAAGATTGTGAATTTTTAAAAGGGTCATATAGTGGTAAAGTCTAAGATAGAATTATAGTTAAATTCCTTTGGCATTAATTAACTATTATGTATTATGCATAATTAAGGATTTATTTTATAGTTTTTTTTTAAAAAAAATAGATAATTTATATTTCTGCTTTTCATTTTTTTTTTTTAATTTGTATATTATATAAGAATGATAATTTGACCTTGAGTTTTTAGATTTAGAGTAATGCACTTTTTAGAGCTAATTTAATTTTATATGATCTCAATAAATATATATATAATCTAATCTACAATATTTTTGGGTACTAATAAATATATATTTAATCTAATCCACAATATTTTTGGATAATGACCTGATGCATGATGATAGTCATGCGTAGATTATTATCGCGAGAATCAGCACCTAAACCAAAGACGTAGATTGTGAAAGGGTGATTGTTATTTTGAGGCTTACAATGGGATCAATAAGATTAGATTTGCTATTTAGGGTAAAGGGTAGATGGGTGATTAATAGTGCCTTTTTCCTTTGCTGCCTGACTTTGTTTGGCTCTTTCATGTGTGGTCCCACCTATCCCCCCTGGAAAAAAAAAAAAAAAAAGAGAGAAAAGAGGGAGGTTTTTGATAAATTGAGATATTTAAGAGTTTTAGAGATTTGAGATATATTTAAATTGGTATTATTAAAAAAAAAAAAAAAAAAAAAGGGGAAGAAAAGGTATAAATGGTATAGAGCAGCTCGGAGACTCGCTTACTGACTTGAGTAGGCTTGCTTGGTAACATACTTTCTGATGCTCACAGAGATACTTAAATAAAAGTTTAAGAGAAATATATGTAAAAAAAAAAAAAAAAAAAAAAAAAAAAAGAGAGAAAGGGAAAGGAAAGTGAAAAAAGATGGAAAGAAAATATATGAGTTAAATATAGAGTAGCTTGGAGACTTGCTTACCAACTTGAATAGGCTTGCTCGGTGATATGCTCTCTGATGCTCTTGATGGTAAAATTAAGGGATATAGTAAAAAAAAAAAAAAAATAGGGAAGTAAGTTATCTGTCATAAACATACGCGATTCTCTTCTTTTCGTCACGTGATCATGGTTAAATAGTAAGAATTTATATAAAGAAAAGATTGTAAATAAATAGTGATCTTGTAAATGTATTGTAAATGTTGAGGCACATAAAGTAGCCGCAGCGTGGCACTACTCCCATAGTGTCTTCTTCATATCAATAAATTGATTCGAGCGAGAATAATAGCAGTTATCATAATTGAAATTATGATAAAATCAACCTTAGCCACATATGTGTGTACAACATAGCTATTAAGTTCTGTAATAGAAGTTTTTTTTTTACATGCAACTCATTAACATCAAAAAAAACTAAATAAGATGGGTGGCGCGAATGCGCCACCCGTCGCACTAGTTATTTATTAATCGCCCAATTTGTGAAAGCACCACCATTTAAAACATATTGTTCTTGATTCATACCATATAAAATCTACGATATGTCAAAAACGACAATCAATATATATCATGGTGTAGCGAAACCATGTGATGCTAATTATCACGTGCTATTACTTATAAAAATCAGTAGATTTTTATATATTGTACCATGTGACAATTAGCATCACACAGGCATCACTAATCATGTGAGACCTAGACTGTTTTTGGACCAGTTCTGAACTAGCCCATAAAAAGTCCGGTCCGGATCCGTTCCTCGTGGACCACTAATATCAATCATGCCGAAATCACAAACAACCGGCCGAAAATAAATTTTTTATCAGGTGTTTCAGAAATCCAAGTATACGCTGCTAATGAAAATACCCAAATCCGGATCTATTGCTAGGTGGCATAGTGATCGATTTTCATTCGCATATTTTGCTCACGTGACTTAGTGCCTGATTGTTTTCTAACGTATAGTGTAAAGCCGTGGATAAAAAATAAAGTGCAGAGTATCTTGTCAAAGTGTTCTGGACCATTCGACGTACAGAAACGGTCGTGGTTATAGAAAGTTAAATTGTGTATTAGTAACTGTAGAACCTCTGACAAGACCTACCTACGATTGATAAACTCGCCAATCTAACACGCCTTTATCGACTACCTACGATTGCTAAACTCTCCAAATCTAACACACCTTTATTGACTAAGCCTTATCATAGGTTACACAAGCATCTGGATTGTAAAGCAGAGATTTCGATTAATACGTATTAATATATATATATATATGGGCTAGGTGCTGGAAAAAGGAACGAAATCGACAAAACAAAAGATCTTCAGAAAATCAATTTTTGTGTTATAAAATTTTATTAACACAACTACTTTTGTGTCTTAAGTGAAAAAAGATTCTAATCTTATTCTAAATTAATTTATGTAAAAAAATTTAGTTTGAAAAAATTGTCATTTTCGTTCCTTTTTCCAGCACCTAGTCCATATATATAAATACATTGGAATATAGAAGAGCTATGGGGAAAAAACAATCGTTTGAAAATCTGCTTATCTATTATCGCTTTTGTACTTATATAGTTCTGTTTAATTGAAAAAAAAGAAATAAATTTAAAATATTTCAATAAAATTAATATAATATTGTACATTGCCAAGTTAGTAATAATTCTACAAAATCACGTTAATATTACACTGCCACCAAATTTATATATTTATTATTTTGTTGTTTTATTTAAAAGAAAAAAAAATACAATACACGAACAGTATATAAAGATATTTAATTTAATTAAACATTTCTGAAATTTTATCAGCAAGCTAAGTACTAAGATTCTTAGTAATCAGAACATGCATTAGAAAGATTTTAAATATACAGTAATTAATTGTCCCAATAAAATAAAGAATTGAATGTCTTGATAAAAAAAAAATTTTTTTAAAATTTAATAGTGCCATAAAATTGACCAGTATTTTCGACCAAGAAATTTGGATTTATTTTATCGTGTTCGAATGTAAAAACTTCACACTTAGTAACTCCAGCATCTTTCAGACTAACTTCACTTCCATTCAGTCTAACAGGAACAATATTTATATCATCATTAACATCAAAAAGTGAAGTTGGTGCTACCTCGCCTGTCGTAGTATTAACATCATGAACATAATTGTGTTCTTCCATACGGATTCCCAATCGTTTCATGGTGGCTGTAATATCAACAGTTCCCGTAACATAAGTAGTACCATTAATTTGGGAATTAGTATTACTACGCCACATGGCAACGAAGCCAGCAAAATGAGGAGAAGTTACTGGTGTTTGGGCATTTGCACTGGGTAAATCAAGAAAAACTCTAATCGAATATGGACCAACTAATTTACCCGCGTTTATAGTTAATTTTACGTAAAATCTAAGATAATAATGAGGATCAGGTTTATAAAGCTCAAGAAGATAAGCTTGTAAATTTTTAGGATCTTGACCCTTAAATTTCGTTAATTGAAGATAAGAATACCCAAGTTTTTCTATATCTCGAACATCTTTAGAATTCCAAAATTCTGTCGATGATTTTCGGAATGGTGTTAAGTCTGTATTTTCATTTATTTTTATATGTAGTTCATCTGTATAAGTTCCGTTGTCAGCAATAGCTTCCGGAACCCAACTGTCAGGGAATCTATAGTAAAAAAATATATATATTATTATTATTATTTGTTTTTTTGTATAATATATTATAATATAAAATTAAAATTATTTAGATAAAGAATAAATACTAACACTCCTTGCCAAAGTGCAATGAGACGATCTACGTTTACATGATGAAAGAAGAATAATGGATCAAATCCGGTTATATCAGGATAAGATAAATGACCTCCAAGACCACCGGACACTAAATGAAAACCATCATGCGTTGTTTCAATCGAAGCAAAATGTGCATATCCAACAAAAACGTCTGGATTTGGATGACCTGGATTTGTATCTTCCATTTCTGTATTATTTGACCCTCTTACAGCGTGATTACTAAAGTGTAAATAATTCTTAATATGAAACATTTGATAAAGTCCCGGTCTAAAGACCGTAGGAACATAAACGGAAAAATTAGCATTCATTATGTCATCTTGATTTTCATATTTAGAATTAGGATGTCTAACAGTTGGATAACCGGCAGGTGTAAAAGGATTAAAATCCATACTGGGAAGTGTATAATTGGGTTTATCAGTTGGATTTTGACCATTTGCAAGGGGATAAGAAAGATTAACAGGTAAATAGTAACGTTTTAACGGATTTGTAACATTTTTCTTTCCTGTTGGTGTATTTAATTCAATTTCAAGTGAGATAAAAAAGTCTGGAACACCTTTAATGGCCTTTAAATCAGCCCAATCCCAATAGGGATGACGAAGTTGATTTGCAGCTTCAACATATTTTTCTCTTTCATTATCCGGGTATTGTAAAGCAATTTTTTTCGCCTCATTAATTAATTGAGATTCGATTAATAACATATACGGTCGGTGCCATGGAGGAAATAAAACATCTCCATGATGACAATATCCACCCCAACGACCTATTGCCCAATCTGTGTCATTATGGTATTGGTGAGCACCACCCGTAACCCCATCATAAGCTGAATAAGGTAATCCATGAATACCTGCGATCTGGTAAAATGATCGCATATCTTCATAGGGGCGATCAAATAACGCTTGATAACTTTGAACTAACAAATCAAATTGAGGTCTGTATGTATCATTGCCATACATATCCAAAACATCTAAACGCGGGTATACTTGTGAGTATGGTTCGATTATAATTGGACCAGATTCTGCTATAGTTCTCACATAAGAAGAGTGATAAATTGAAGAATGACTTAATCCCATCTTTAATTAATATTATTATTATGTTTTTTTTTTCTTTATTACTGGTTTGAAGTTTGAAATCGAGGGAAAACAGTCACCTTTTTATACTGTTCGTTATTGAGCGTTAAAAATTATCACCCACTTGAAATTTTAAGAGCCATACGAAAGTAAATAAATTTACTATATCTAAGAATTATGGAGTTTATTCATAATGCACAGATACTTAGAAAAGATCCGAATGCAGCATGTGCATACATTTAAAGAATTCGTGCATCGTTAATGAATACTCTCGTTGATTGTAGATAAAATACCTCAGTTGTATTATTGTATATAAGTATTCATTAAAAATATCTATTTTTGTTAAATTATAACTTTAGGTTTAGGCGTAAATTTACATATTAAATTACGTGTTTGCATATCAATAGGTCGGGTTATTATTTTTCCCTGATGTCAACTTCGATTTAATCCGAGTTATTAAATCAATAACCGGATTTTAGTACATTACTTATGACGAATAATTTTGACAGTAGCATTTATAACTTAGTGTAATACTAATAATTTGAACTGTCTAAATAGCTTGGATGAATTAATCCAATAATAAATTCGAAAAGACAATAAAAAGCTAACTCTGGATCTAAATTTGATTTGATGATCGCATTGTACGTACGTACATACGTACGTTACTTCCTTGGCAGACTTGGCATGCTTGGCAAATAAAAGTATTCGATCACCTGAAAGCAGTAGAGATTCATAGTGATTAAAATTTTATTGGTACACAAATACTTTTTATGTATTTGTGTTACAGATTTGTTTTTACGAAAAAAAAAATCCAAGTTCTAGTAAATTATAGAAATAAAAATTTCTAATTATAAAAAATCATTAGTTACAATGATTACTATTTTGAAAAAAAAACTTCTGATTATAAAGATTTCTATTTTGAAAAAAAATGCCGACTATAAAGATTTTTATTTTGAAAATATTTTTAAAGCTTCTATTTAAAAACTAGCCAATACTTTTTTTGTATCCGTAGATGTAGATGTGTTATGAAATGCTGTATCATTATTATAAAGCCTAACTTATATCATAAAACAGCTTATAGCTTATTTCAATTTGAGAAAATCAATATTTAAACGATTATCGACTATACTTGGGATGGCCTATATCTGATTGAAGAGCAATTTAATATAATAACGCTCCTGCATCTGTAACTGTTTGTAAGATTTAAAAAAAAGGCTTAACCACATATAGATGTATTAAAATTGTAATAATAGATGATAGTAAAAATAAACAATACGCGAGTGATCCTATTTAAATTTGTGCTTTTTTATTTTTCTTTTTTTTTGATCTAAATATGCATTTTCACTTTTTTTTTATCAATAATAAACTGATAATTGCTGATTATCGATGATAAACAAATAAGTTTGTCGATTGTTTGTAATCTTTCATATTTAAATTAAACAATCAAATCAAATTATAAGATCATTGTTTATAAATGCTTTCGTTATCTAGCGAATTAGTATGTTCTCTAATAGCCTAATGAATTTTTTTAGTGTTTGAGATATCTCTTAGTCAGTGTGATTAATTAGAGAGGTTTACGGATAATTTAATTACAACAGTCACGGACTATGTCTCTTAATTCAATAGGTAATTGTCAAACATGCAGATTTTTACGGTCTTTTTTTAAAGAAAGTTTATAAAAGCAATATCACTACAAATCATATGTTGATCTTTTCTGCTAAATAAATAAGTAACTGTGTGACGCAGTCAGGAACCGATGAAGAGAGTATTAAGCCTGATTTAGAAATGTGGATAACTCTGATACATAATGGTCTGCGACAAAAATTGGAGTTTAAGACATGTGCGAGATGTAACCATCGAGGGGGTCCTACGTCGAAGAAAGCTTAAACGCATAAAAAAAAGGTACCTATCTCTTGGCTTTGTGTTAGTTACGCGTTGAATTGATCACAATTAGAGTTAATACCTGGATCCGGATCCTAATCACAAGATCCGGATCTTAATAATAAGATCCGGATCTAGTTATAGGAT